GCGAACGCACCGGAATACGAGGCATACCTAGACGAGAACGCCAGCCGCCAGGAGATTCGACGAGCGCCAGGGTGCAGGCCCAGACGCGGCGAAGGCTATCCGCAAGGGTAAGGAGGAGATGGTTGCAATTGGGGGAGTTCGATATCTTCGAGACAGTGGACGGGCCTCTAGATGGCGCCTGCCTGCTCGCAACGAGGTGGGGTAACGTTCCCGGAGGACCAGATGAGTGGAGGCGCAGGTTGACGGCAGGGGAGTTCAACGGAGAAGATCTTGATTTGGAGGGTCCGTTCGCGGCAGGAGCTACGAGTTGCGCGGGTAGTTTTGTAGACCAGCGACTTGGATCTGGGGCCCGCGGCATCGGGGGCGAAAGCTGCGACCGCCCCCCCGGACAGCGCCAGCGCCGGCGCCCTTGGACAAGTGTCTGGGGCCCCCCAGACGCAGGCCCAGGACCTCCCCATTCCCCTCCTCCTCCAATTATTCCACAACTATTCAATATGAGTGCAGGTCTCCCCTCTCCCCAGATACTGTGCTAGCGGGGCGCCGCCAAGGTTATTTCTCCATCGTTGTTGGTCTTTCAAAGGGATGTTCCCGCTGCAGCGTTGGCCTCGTTTCAAGGTCGGCGCTGTGCTCCCGTTGCTCAGAATGGCGCTCCCGTTCCAGTACGGGCCACACTGCTGGATCTGATTCCTTCCTCGTCGTTGTCGCCCCTTCCTCTCCCCTCCTCCGTCTTTCCCTGGTCCTCCTGTCTTTCCCTGGTCCTCCTGCACTTGCTTCTCCTGCTCCTACTGCTGCTGCTCCTCCTCCTCCTCTTCCTTTTGCTCCTCCTCTTCCTCCTCCTCCTCCCTCTCCTCCTTCTCCTCCTCCTCCTCCTTCTCCTTCTCCTCCTCCTCCTCCTCCTCCTCCTCCTCCGCCTCCGCCTCCTCCTCCTCCTCCTCCTCCTCCAATGTGCACAACTTCTCTTGTGCATTGCACGATGGGGTCATTTTAGGATCCAGGCCCCATTGAATACGAGTCGGGGGATGGAGAAAACTCAGCGTAATGGGAAGGGATGGAATGGGAGGGTCGGCTGTACGGTATGGCGCGCGCGCACCTGGCTTGCCTTCCCTTTCTCCCTCCGCCCACCCTCTCCCCCCCCGCCTGGGCGCTCAGGCCCCCTGTGGGGCGGCGACCCTGGGGGCCCCCCCCTCCGTGCCCGCGCAGAGGGCGGGCGTGCCCCCACGGGGGACGGGTTGGCGCAGGTTGGCGCGGGCTCCCTCGGGCCTGCGACGCGCTCCCGCAGGGTGCGGCACCCGCCGCCTGTGCTGAGGGCGCGGCGGGTGCCGTGTGCAAGGGCCCATCTTCTGTCGTATGGGGCCCCTGGCCTACAGGGCGGTGCGCCGCACGGCGCGGCACGCGCTGCCTGGGACTCCCTACTGGTGGGGTCAGCTGGGGCCTGCTGGGGGCTCCCGCAGCGCGGGCCCCTTCAAATTTTGGCCGTGCTCGGGCTCCCCTGTGCTCACGGAGCTTTGAACGTCTTATCCGCAGTCTCCGCACTACCCTGCAACACCCTCCCCTCCCTGCCTTCCCCTCGCCTCCGTGTCCTTCCCCTGTCCTACATACCCTTCCCAACCCAGGGGACGACGAAAGGGGGGAGATTGGAAAAACGCGGGTTACGAGATCTGCTGCTCGCAGCTAGTTTCGGCCCCGCCGCTGGGCTCATTCCCCGATGCGTGGCCGCCGCTGGCGCTGGGAGTGGGGTCGGACGAAAATGGGATAGGGAAAGGGGGCATTACAAAATCTGATGCCCGCAGCTGGTTTCGGTCCCGCCGCCAGGCGCCTTATATGATATATCCAGCGGCCGGCCCCCCTGGCCCAGATGCGGCCCACTTTTCCCAAACCCCGCTCCGTGGTGCCCACTCTTTCCCTGGCGGTCCGGAACCCATTGGGGCCCTTCGGGTGGTTTTCGGAGGGCCCGAAGGCGCTCCCCAAACGGTCCAAGAGGCTTCCGAGACGATCCAAGAGCGCTTCAAGACCCCCAAGATGGCTTCCATACGGCCTAAGAGGCCCCGAAGACGCCCCGAGAGGATTTCAAGAGGACCCCAAAGAGGGGCCCACGAAACGCACATGGTCCCAATCCTCAGGGGAAACGGTAATTTTTTACAGATTCGCCGTCCTGTTGGCAGCATCCCCGACGGCCCAAGCGGCCCCCACGATCGCCACAAGACTGCCCAAGAGGACCTCAAGACGGCCCCAAGACGGCGCAAGGGAGCCGCAAGACGGCCCAGGAGGCACTCAAGACAGCCCAAGAGAGCCCGAAGAACGCGAAGTATCATTTCAAGCCGTCCGCTCCAAGATGACCCGAGAGACCGCTGGAAGGCCCCCAAATGGCCTCAAGACGCCCCCGGGAGGCCCAAGCGAGACCCCGAAGGATTTCAAAAAGTGTTTCCAGGAGGCGCCCGCGAGGGGCCCACAACCGAGGCAAGGGGTAGGGAGAAGGAGAGATCGGGAGGCGGAGGAGGAGGAGGGGAGGCGGAGGAGGAGGAGGAGGCGGAGGAGGAGGAGGAGGAGGAGGAGGAGGAGGAGGAGGAGGAGGAGGGAGGAGGACGAAGAGGAGCAAGAGGAGGAAGAGAAGGAATGCAGAGGAAGGAGGAAGGAACGGGAGAGAGCAGGGGGAGCAGGGGGAGGCCCAGGAATACTGCACCGTCGAGCAGGACTGTGTCCACCAGAACTATTCCACTAACGTTAGAAAACGCACTTCATCAAAATATCCCATGCCTTTTCCACTCGGGCGTCCAGTGGCTCCGTGGAACACACCGACCCATTGACAACAACGTCAAAAGTTGGTGGGCCGTGCTGTTTTTTTGTGGGTCTCTCTGGGTGCCCCCCCCTTGGACGGCTTGACCGAAGGTCGCGAGGGGGGGGGCACAGGAGACTCCCCCCCTCCCCCGTTTTCTCACTTCTCCCGCCCCGTGCCCGCCAGTATTTCGCGGCCGTCGCCGTTTTGCGGCCCCCAGGGCGTCCCCCCCTACCACGAGGAGCAGTCGCGGGGGGGCGGCCTGGTGGAACGCTGTCTGACCGCCCCCATGATTCCTGGGACGCCATCCCCCCCCGCGAAGGGCGGTCGCGGGGACAGTTTACCTTTGAGCATGTCGGGGGCGTGGATCAGTACAGTAATGTATTTCTTCCCAGACAGCATGTTTTTTTTTTGTCTTCCGCCCCTCGACGGCGGCGGGCACTGGCACGCCTCGGCGAGCGGTTAAGCCGAGGCCAAACGCATGGTTGAGGGCCAGCGCAGGGGCCGCTAAGAGGAGGGCAGCTAAGCGAAAGCGTCTGAGGAATGTTCGAGGATTTTGGTTTGACGTTTTTTTTTTTGGTGTACGCAGTTTCTGTGTTTTCCATGTTTTTTTTTGGGGGTGTGCACCAAAAGTGGCCTCAAGCCACCTTTGGTGTACCCATGTGTTTTTTCGATGGAACTCGAGTGTACGAAAGTTCTGCGTTGTCAGGCAGCTTCGATTGGCGGGGCGCCAGACGACTCCTCGGCTCGCCTGGGGGCGCGCCCGTGTGGGTTGTCGCCCCCGTGTTCCGATGCTTGGCGTTTGCCTCTGGAGGGCCTTGTCGTCGGCCGCCAGAGATTGATTGTCTCATTCAGTTACCGTACTCTTGCGAGCCCCCAACTCACATAGTCTTCTGAAGGGCAGGTGCTTGTTAGAACCTGAGCGCGCACGTGCGTTCGCACAGCCGACTCTGGCAGGAGTTGGAGAAGTAGCACGAAATCGGACCGAATCGATGCATAGCGCCAGCAAAGAAGCGCCCGTGAACATTAAATTCGAAATGATGCAAATCAGTGCGAAGCCGTGTGGGACATGCGCTGCGTTGCGATGTCATTGCAGTGCCAAACGAACTACCATGCCACAGGACATGCAATGACAATGGATGCATCGTCGCGCGAAACATATCAGAACACTTCCAGGAACAGTTGTCAACGCAACAGCACGGCAATGCAATGTAGCGCAGTTCCAAGCAACAGAGACCTATTACCGTTAACATCGCGCGAATCATCGTGGATCAGCACATATGTTGTAACAAGCAACAAACTGCGATGTAATGCGAACAACGCAAAGAACCCAACAAACCCGACAAACCAGGGAGCGTGAATGTCGGACAACGCAACAACGAATCATCCAATGCCAAAGCCCTTGGGCACCTGGGCCGGGGGGCGTAAGTGCCACCAGGGCCCTTGCACACATGAAAGAAGGCAAAACATAACCATAATACCACGAGGAGGGACTATAACGAAGCAGCATATTGTAGCAGGGAAGAAGCAGGTGGGGGGACGGTGGCAGGAGTAACGGAGGAAAAAGAGCAAGGGAGGCGGGATGGAATAACACGGAGGAAAGACAGACTGACAATGACGCGGGATAAGCGAGGAGCGAGGAGGTAACAAGGAGGGGCGGAGGAGCCAGGAGACACTCCTGGGGTTTTCGTGGGTTCCCGAGGCCATATTCGAGTACAGGGAGAAGAGAGCATAATCCCTTATGGTTCTCAAGCGACTTTTTACGACTCTCAAGTGGCCCTTCGGGCAGCATCTTCGAAACCGCTGGGGCCCTGTTGGGCTCCCGTTGTGCAAGGTGAGTCTTTTGTTCAGACATGCCAGAACATTATGGGGTCATCTAGGAGCCTGTTGGGGCCGTGGCTGCATCCGCCAGACGCCCTCTGGAGCCCTCGGGTCTGTCCTGGATATATGGGCGCCTCTCAGCGTTTGGAGGCTCCGGAGAAATCCGCTGCGACTCTCTAATCCCCCCTTGGCTATCCTCTTTTTCGACCGACCCGTTTGAGGCGTGGGGAAAACCAAGTGTATGCAGCGGTTTCCGCATCCGCCTTTGCCAAGCGCCATTTCGTCCATGCCCCCCGCCCTCCCCGAAGACCTCTCCCCCACTTTTCCTGCTTCCAGTTCCTCGCCTGCCCATCCCCCCCGTCTTCGCGGACGCAACATAAAGCATGCTCAGCTTTCCCCGCCGCAGGCTGCGCCGCCGCCGCCTCCGGAGCCCCAGGCGTGGGGGCAAGATCGACCAATGCCTTTCTCATTGTATTGCTGTGCTTGTGGGCCGATCGTTGGAACCTATATCCAGTAGCCGTCGGCAAGTCCCGCCACCATGCCAGCCCAGCACCTTGGGTGGCGAGAGTTCGAGTGGGCACGGGAGACCGTCACGTGTGACATGTCGCTTCTCCACGCCAGGGAGAGCCGTGATGACGATGATAAGGATTATGAGGATGGTGGGGCTGATGACGATGATGTGCTACTGATGATGACGATGACGCTGGCGATGACGATGATGCTGATGCTGCCGATGATGATGGTGTTGATGACGATGCTGGTCATGATGATGTTGACGACGATGATGAATATTATTGTTTGAAAATGAAAACGATGATGAGAAAGAAGGTAGCGAGGATGGCCGTGTTTTCACATCTCACATTCAGTGGAACCGAAGGCCGTCGTGGTCACGCATCATCGCCGCCACCGCGTCGGCTCAAGTCTTTTTCTGGAGGAAGAGGCCTCCACCCGGATGCACCTTGGCTCCGTTTTCGGCCTCCCGCTTGCAGGCAACACCATTCTCCTGTACCTGGCGCGCTGGTGGCTGCTGCCCGCCGTGCCCGCGGCTCCCGCCGCGCCCGCCGCTGCGGCTGCCCCCCCGCCTGAGGAGGCGAGCCCGCTCCCGGCGCCTGGCGTGGCCGCTGGGGTCTAGGTGCCGCTGGCTGACTGCCTGGCGGCCGCATGGGACGTGAGGGAGGCCGCGCGCGCGTGCCCTTCGCCCTGCCGCCTGCCGCCAGTGCCCTGTCTGCGACGAGGGTTGCGGGCCGCGGCCTTCCCCAGCGTGGGAGGCGACGATGTACGTCGGGGTGTTGCTGGCCTCCGAGCTCCTGCGCGGGGGGCTCTCGCTCGCCGCGGCGGCCGCCCGACTCCCTTGTCGGGGCCGCACGTGGCAGCCCGCGCTGGACGGCGACCTCCGCGTGAACGTGCATCAGCCTGGGCGGGTGGACTCGCCTGACCGACGCGGGCAGCAGATTTGGCGGGCTGGGCCGCGTCACGTGACCTCGGTCAGCGATGAAATTTGGATTGAGTGCGACGAGCCTGGGGTGCGGCTCGCGCCCGCGTGCATCGTCGTGGCGCTGTCATCCCGAGGGCATGAGCACCACGCGGTGCTCGCATCTGACTTCGGGGTCTACGTCGAGAATCGTGACGCGGGGTACACGGACCTCCCCAACTGGTGGAAGGAGGGGGGCCCTGGCGCAGCCCCGCTGGACGCCTTCATACCCCCTGGGCTGCGACGGTGCGACTTCGCCGCCATGCCACTGGTCGCCCAGCCGGCCCGAGCCTTCGCGCTCCGAGCCGCGAAGACGGCGGAGCACGGGCGCGGCCTGGGCGGGGGTCTTCCTGCTGCTGCCCCTTCTCCGGGTGCCGCTGGTCGTGGTGGCCTGCCCGCTGCCCCAGTGGCTGCAGGCCGTGCGCCTCTGGGGGGCTGCCCCGCCGCAGGCGTGCCCGCGGCGATCGGCGGCTCCGCTGCAGCCGCCGCCGCCCCCGCCCCAGCGGCCGCTGGCGGCGCGGCGTGCGCCCATGCAGTTGGTGGCGGGTTCGCTGGGATTGCTGCCTTGGTTGCCGCCGCCCACGCCGCCAATGGAGACCGCTTCGCCGCTGCAGCCCCCGCGTCACCCGACGGCGCTGCTGACCCAGTGCCTGGGGACCCGCGGGCGCTCACTACGGCCTACGACATGCTGGGCCAACGGCATCGGGAATCCAGGGGCAGCGGGCCGTTCATACATCCGACGATTTCCCCCGGCTGGCCTTTGCCAGTCACCCCCGCGTACCGCTGGGTCGCGACGCACCAGGTGGAGAACAGGGGCTCGCCGATGGTGCACCATCTCGCCTGGGAAGCGGCGTTCGGATCCGCAGTCCCCGTTGACGATCCCATGGTCTCGATGCATCTCGAGTTTCCCAAGATCACGCGGTTCGCCCAGTCATGCGACCAGCTCGACGGGTCGAGCCTGGCCTCCATATAGCTGGTCGGGCGGCAGCGTCAGCCCTGCGAAGATCGGTACGAAACAAGTTGGTCTCTCACGGCTGCTCGTCAGTGACGGTGACGAGCAGTATTTCTTCACGGAGATGCAGTCCGATGGAGAGCTCATGGTCTGCCTTGCCCTGTCCGAGTGGATCTCGAAGCAGCTGGCTGCCGAGTCGGCCATCGCGAAGGAGCGCCGCATGGCGCGCGAGGAGCGGCAGCTGCTTCACCCGCCCGCTGGTGGCCGCGGCGGTGGACAGGGCAGGTGCGCCGGCAGGGCCACCCGGTCCTAGCCGGCGCCCAGCGGCGTTTGTGCAGCGGTCGCCAGGACTTCGGTAATCCTGGATGGGCTCCCTCTTGGCCCCTCGCTCCTGATTGCCCATGGCTGCCAGTCGTCAGCGAAACGCTCTTCCCCTTCCTCTTCTGCCTCGCGAAGTTCCCCCTGATGCTGGCGGTCGCGGCGGTGCTCTGGCTTGGATCGACTGGGCCGACGACGGCGTCGAGGCGATCAACTGGCTTGTCGGGGGCGGGGCGCCGCCGACTCGGAAGCGCCCTTCAGTTTTGCCGCAGCGGTCGCTTGACTACACTGCTGCGCAGCGCGCCAAGATCGGCGGCCCGCCAGCCGACATATCCCGCTCCAACTCGCTCTCCGACCTACGCTCTAGCTGCCCTCTCTACTCTGCGGGGCGTGGCAACATGGTCTCCTACAGCAAGGACCTTGTGCCCTGGCCTTCTGGCGGCTCGGCGCCTGTTGCGCTGCGCGACGCCCTTCTGGAGGCCGACCGTTTATGGCTGCAGGATGGAAGGCCCGCGTGCTTCGCCCACCTGATGAAGCAGCGGCCCTTCGACGAGACCTCGGACTCTCTCAACTCTGTGTCGATCCCAAGCTCCGTCACCCTGCCACCTACGGCGAGTTCATCAGTGAGCTCTTGGGCAGGGGCATGCTGCGCCTGTCTCCAGCTCGCGGCCGTCGGGGGCCCCTGGGGGTCTTCGTGGTCGCCATGAAGTCGGGCCAGCAGAGGCTCATCTTCGACACCCGCGTCTGCAACGCGCGTTTCAGGTCACCTCCCTGCGCCGAGCTGCCAAGCGGCAGCGCCTCCGCTCGCATGGAGACGCAGGGCTGCGGCGACGCGTGGTTCAGCAGCGGGGGCATCTCCAGCGCCTTCTACGCCATGCAGGTCCCCGAGGGCCTCTGTGAGTACTTCTCGTTGCCGCCTGTTCGCGCTGGACTTGCGGGCGTCTCTGAGCTCGACGGCGTCGCGGTTCACGAGTCCGAGTGGTTGCTCCCCAAGCTCGCCATCCCGCTGATGGGCTGGCCCTGGGCGCTGCGCCCTTTCCAGTGCGTCTCGGAGGCCGCGCTCGCCCGTGCCCGCGTCGGCCCCGCGCAGCAGGTCCGCGACCGCAGCCGTGGCGTGGTTCTTGCACCCCAGCTGCCTGTTGCGGGCGCCGCGTACTCCGACGACTTCCTCGTCGCAGGCCCGCGGCGGGCCAGGGTTCAGTCCGCGGGCCGCAAGGTTGAGGGGGGGCTCTCCTCGCTCGGCTTTCTCGTCCACCAGCAGGTTGAGGCAACCAGGTCGACCAGCTTTGTCGGGCTCGAGCTCGACGGGCGTCACCACTCCGCGCGGGTCTCTGCGCGCCGAGCCTGGCGGCTCCGCTTCGCCATCGAGGAGCTGCTCCGACGGCCAACGGTTCGCGGGTCCATCGTGGAGATCGTCGTGGGCCACTGCACCTGGGTCATGCTGCTCAAGAGGTGCTCCCTGGCCATCTTCGACTCGGTCTACGCCTTCATTGCCTCCGCGAAGGACAAGGCGATGCCGCTCTGGCCGTCGGTGCTGCGCGAGCTCTGGCACGTCCGCTCGCTGCTGCCGCTCTTCGTCGTCTTCGCCAGCGCGGACTGGCACGACGAGGTCACCGCCAGCGACGCCTCGGACTGGGGCTGCGGGGGCCTGCCGCCGCCGGTGCGACCGCGGCGCGGTGGCCGAGATCGGCCGCGCGGCCGAGAGGTGGCGCTATCTTTTCGAGGGGTCAGCTCGTGCGCGCGACCACGCCCTGGGGCCTGGCTCTCCTGACGCCGTGCTTCGTGGCCCTGGTAGCCTCCCAAGTGGCGAGGCCAAGAACTGGGACAAGTCCTTTGGCGAAGCCGACCCAGACCTCCTCACCGAGGACGGCTGGGCCATCGCTCACTCTTTCCCGTGGATGGTGCCCCTTCGACATCTATCGCGCGGAGGGGCTCGCCGTCGCGTCCGCCCTGCGCCGCCAGCTCAGGGCAGCGGGCGCTTTCGGGAAGAGGATCGCGCGCCTGGTCGATAACATGTCGCTCGCCCTCGCCATCGGGTAAGGCCGAGGGGCCTCGCCGCGGCAGCGCAGCGTCCTTCGGGGGATCTGCGCATGCTCTCTGGCCTGCAGGCTCCACGTCTTTGCCGGGCGCGCCCCCGGCGAGCTCAACCCCGCTGACGCGCCGTCGCGCGGGCTCCGACACATCGTGTCTGTTGACGCCGAAGTGGCCGCTGCTCTTGGCGACCGCCTCCATGATCCCCGATGCTGCCGCGGGAAAGTGGGGGCGCTCGGTTCAGCCCCCGACGCCGCCAGGACGTGCTCCTCATTTCCAGCCCGCCCCCCTGGCCGCTGGCGCTGGGACCCTGGCGGCCGTCGCCCTGCAGGTGGCAGATGCGCGCCATCGGGAGGGCCCGAACGGGGAGTTCCTGATGGGGTTCACTTACTTCCAGCCGACGTCCGTCAGCACAGCCACGCTGAGGGACTACCCGCAGATGGCGGGCGCCCTCGCCGATTGGCGTGCCCAGCTCCTCCTGGACTGGAACAGCTCGGAGCCGCTGGACATGATAGTGGTGACCTACGCCGACTACCTGTACCTTCGCGGCCACTGCGGGGGCGACGCCTCGCGCGAGCTGGCCACCGCTATGATGCTGAGCTCCACGTGCTACCTCGGGCCCTCGGAGTACGGCCAGTTGACGGCGGCGCAGGGCGCCCCCCGC